CTAAGCCTTCTGTAAGTCAAGGGTCCACTGTACATGCATACTTCTAAGGCCAAGGATTCAATGGCAGAAGGTACATGCCTGCTTTGATCTCTCCTAGTGAAAGCAAAATACTGACTGAAATAATGTTGCTTAGCTAAAAAGTTGCAACTAGAGTAGGCCCATTGAATCGAAAGAATGGGTTTATTCTAGCTGTGACTTGCTATGCTAAGCAACAGAATTTCAGCCAACATAAGCATGCTGAACTTTGGTAGGCTTCTGCATGCTCAAAATTTTAATCAGGGTTTACATTAAAAAAAAAATCAAAAAACTGAAACGTAAGAGAAGCTACTTACCATAAAATGTCAAGTATCCAAAGAGGGCAGCCAGGAGGTACATAAGGAACATGGCAAAAAATGACACATTGGATACCTTCATCATTCTTCTCCGGCTTCGCCTATTTCAAAAGAATAAGCGTTATCAGTACTTCCGCAGTACACACTTGCATCCTATTATCTGATATGCAATATATGAAGTTTATAACATAATATATATAGGACTTACTGTTTCAGTTCTTCATAAATGGGAAGTATAGCAGGATGGCAGACAAATGAAAATGTTAGGATTGGTACAGCATAGACCGTCTGGAAAACAAACAAGCAAAACGTTTTAATATTCTTTAGCAACATTAACACAGTACATGCCAGAACCCTACCATTAACTCCAACTAGAGTAGACCCATTAAATCAAATAAATTTACACAAGTGTTGATTCACAATTCAGTAATTGATTCAGTGGGCCTACTGTAGTTGAGACTAGCAAAAGGATTCTGGCTGAAGTCAGCTTCTTCTGTAACCAAGACAACAATCTTAAGTTGACTATAGTCATTCGTTTAGTTTTTATTTGTTACATTTCTACCCCACCTTTTGTTCAAGGAGCTCATTTCAGCTCACAACAACCCTGTGATGTATTGGCCCAAAGAATATCCAGCAAGCTTCATGACTGAGTGAGGCTTTGAATTTCCTTACTCAAATGACTATTAATACACCTAATGGGAAACAGCGAGGTGTATTTCCATGATATAATGAGCTGCACAATCACATCTCCTGTTTTTGTTCAATTTACAAAACAGGAAAACAACAATTCAGTTAAAAATGTGTATTTTGTCACTAAACAAGAATTTCTTCACTAAAATCTGAATCTATATCTGCAAACCTGCAATCCTATTTGTAAGTACAATTCTGGGTACCTCCATCTGAGGCTGTACCCACTAAGACTGAAAGCTCTCTTCCAAAAGCCCTAGTCACTCTATTAAGTGAAATCCAATAGTGTAGCATGTGCATGCGCCATATCCCAAGGAGTGAGGAATATTTTCATGATTCTCAAGAAAAAGCACAATGCTGAGCATATGTCTTGAAAATTACTATAAGTAAATCACCCCTTCTTTCTGCTTAAATCCATTATCACTCCTTGATGTCAGAAGGCTTGGAGAAACTGATTTATTTACAAAACTTCAGGATCCGCACTTTATCCAAGTGTTCTTGGACTACAGTTCCCATAAGCCTTCACCACCAGCTGTGTTGACCAGGATTTCTAGGAATTGCAGTCCAAGAACACCGGGGTTAGTCAAGGTTGGGAACCACTGCTATAGATGATACATACATACAAACAGGATTTCTCAGTAATGGAAATTCAAGATGCAAGTATTTTCTAAATCCTTACCAGACTGATAGACTGATCATATTCTAAAGATCGTATGCCCTAGTAAATGGCTGCATTCAAGGGCAATAACACACACACACTAATCTCACAGTAATATAACTCTACTTCTACTGAGCTGCTACACATTGGCCCTCCCCAATTTAATATTAATCTTTACCTGTGAATTGAAGATGAAATATTTTGGTGTGCAGATGTCATCATTAGTCATATTGGCTAAAGGTTCATATGCTGTCGGCAGATGTTCTAGACTAATATTCAGTGTCGCATTAACCAAATCATGCTCCATCCCACAAGGAATCTGAAACTTCTTGCAAATGACCTAATAAAGAATAAGCAAAGTACAGGATCAATTTAAATTTCACTGGGTCAATATGTTTTAGATCTAAAGACTGGGCATAATTAAAATCATGTTATCTTATATGCCTTGTATATCTCAGGAATTTACAGAACAAAGTTTACTTACAACAATAAGAAAGAAGACCATGCACAGTAGGGAAAATCCACTGGTGTAACCCAGATAACCTGTAATAAAGACAACTTTTAATTTGGAGACTGCTGCTTGTGTGTAAGGTGGCATAGCCTGTATGATTGAAAAAATGAGTTTCTGGCTAGTACAGTATCCTGTTTGCGCTGGTGTGACATACAAATTACGCCAATGTGACTATGGTGATTACGCTTGACAACAAGGAATTGCACTAACAAATTCTGCAATCAGCCACACATTCTGAGCATGACTGATTGTGCAATGTGCCAGCAGACGTGCTTAGGAGAGAGCATTTCTGCCAGAGCCACAGTGCAACTATCATGCGTGAAACCTTTAGTTGTGTGCATATAATTGCACAATAGGGTTTTGGTCTCTAAGACAAGACAGATTTGTAGACATTAATCATGATAATACATTAACACTAACTTTATATCTCAGCCATATGCGCCTTTCTATCAAGTATAAAGAGTTTTGTTTCTCATTCTATTGTAGGCTAAATCAGGACTGTGGGGCCTGTGGTCCTCTTAATGTTTTTGGAATCCAACTCTCAACAACCTTTCCATCCTGGCCAGTGCCAAGGGATGATAGGAACAGCTGTTCATCAACAGCTGAAAGGCCACTGGTTCTGCAGCCCTGACCCAAATTAACTTATCTGAGACATTTTACAAGATATGTGATTCAATCTTTTACATGCCTACCCAGAAATAAGCCCCATTAGACTTAATGGAACCTACTGCCAAGTAAGGAAATTTGCATAAGAGTAGACCCTTAATGGGATGCAAAACCTTCCCAACTGTCTTTTCCAGTCTTACATTACAATTTATTCACATAATCCTTAAAGTTATGTTCAGTTGTTTTGTTTTGTTTTGTCATTTGAAGCTCATTAGGAGCTTAGTTTGCCATTTATCTGTAGCCACACAATATAAACAGCAGAAATGACACAAGACTCCAAAATAAAGGGTCATACAAAGAGATATGCCATTATGTTACAATCTTTTGCCTTAAGTTCACACAAAAATCAGCAACTGCTTACCTAGATTTTTCAATAGAGACAGAGGGAGAATGAGTCCCAACGATACCAGTATAACCAAATAATCACCATTGATATACCACTGTCTGTAAAACAGAAAAGAAAAAAAGAAGATAATCAATAACATGATACTTGGCTGTTGTCTTTACAATTTAGAAGTCTAAGGTTATGTTGATATGGCAGTGAAAAAAAGGAAACAAGAAATGGAGCACATAAGATTTTTGTCTGGAGTACCTCATGTACACGGATTCCCATTCCTCTGGAAGGATGTAGCTCTCAACCGGATTGATGTTTCTAGGTTACAACTAGAGCTTGGAGAAGTATTTCTTCTAGGCCACCACTTTGTCTGGCAGACAAAGTTTTAGAAAATAACTTTTCCAAGCTCTGCAGTCATGCACAATTAACTTATACAGAAATTGGTGAAACCGTGTTCTTGTTAATGTGTTTAGAAGACTGGCAGATCAGTCCTAAACATATTTACCTATGAGGCAGTCTTGAGTGTGACCACACTTCTAGTAAGAATGCTCAGGACTGTAGTCAAAATTAAGTTCTTGCACTCTGAGATTGGTGGCCTCTTTACATATAGCTGCATTAAAGCTTCCATACTGCTATATCCATAGCAGCATCCATATTGATCTTGCTCCCCCCCCCCAATACATGTACTTGCTTCAAAATAGATGGCACTATCACCCAAAAGATTTACGATTCAACAGCTGGACAGGATACATTGGCTACCTCTGCAGGATCCTGTTCCATCTGCCATAATCAGTGGACCTCCTCCCTCCTGCAGCCTGCTGAGCAGCCTAAATCTGCTTGGGGCCAGAAAACCTTCTGGAACAGAATGTGGTACCATGCAGAGAGGTAGCAGGAGGGAAATGAAGTCTCAGTTCTGTTTGCACTGGATACTTAAGTCCACCACTGATCTTGGCCACTGTGGCTAAATTTAAAATTCCAGCCCTGGTGCTCTGAGAAGAAATTAATCTTTCCATTAGAGCACATAATTTTTTATATATTTTAAACCAAGACTTAGCTGAGTAGAGGACACAAGACTGAAAGAGAAACAAAAGTGATGTGTTCCACTCCCTGAAATAAACTGATGTGAACAACTACCTACAAAAGGGTCAGGAGGAGATACGCAAACTACTGTGATGCTGAACACTACTGGGGAAGGATCAAGTTCCAAAATCATCATCACAGTCTTGCTACAAAAGTAACTCAAACACACTAAGCACAGTTTGGAGGAATTTGTGTCAACTTAAGCACCACTGAATATTTCAAGGTTTAATTAGGTGCTGATATTCTAATGAGAACAGCCGGATTTAGGCATCCCTGCTTCTCAGGATGATAAGCCAGTATTTGGCATTCCTTTAAAATCATAGCCCTTACATCCCCAATCACAATAGCAGGATTTCAGCGCACACACAGGTTCTGTCCCAATCCTGAACACTTTTTGCTCAGTGCTTGTATATCTGCATGTCTTACAGTGCTTCTGTTCCTAATTTCAATTCTTGCAGTAGTGTTTTGGTTAAAAATTGTGTTCAAAAACATCCTTACATGTACTTGCTTTCAAAAACCAAATGTTCTGTAATTTTCCACCCTTCCTTTTTTGTGTTGCATTTTTAATATCACAGCTAATCATTCATTAACTCTGCAAGTCAGTCAGAAACGTGTGTGTTGCTGAAACAGATAAAGTAAACAAATAGACTGTGTAGGGTATTTAACAGTGTTGTGTCTTCAGAATAGAAAAATGGTTATCTGGTCTACTAAAAGCTGTTATCTTGTCAAAATGCATAAGCTCCCCTCCCTCGCCAGAAATGTCTGTATTACGAGCAAAATAGGCCACTCAAGAAGCAAGCAAGTAAAACTGAAATGTAACAATGATTTATCCTTTTGTATAAAGAGGTTACATTTGTGTCTATCACAGGAGGTACTCAGACACAGTTTCTGCAATGCTCCTTTTTGTTCCTGTTACCCATTTTTCTGCTGAGCAGTTCTAAGACGTACCCTGTGTTCTCTTCGATGTTCATAAATGCCTTGATGACCAATGGTAACTCATATTTCACTATGTAGAGGTAGCTTGACATAGCTGCAGGTGAATAACATTGTAGATCATTACAAAAACAGAACATGACAAATACAAGAGTCTCAAAACATGTTCCAGAATGCCATTTTAAGGTCACTAAGTGGAAGCATGTTGTGTGACAAAGCTGCTTGAACAGAAGGAAGAATATTGTCTGAAAAAGCATACATACTTAAGAATAGGCCATTGAAAATCCCTACCTCCAATATTCTGCATTGTAATAGATCCAGAAGCTGCTAGTTTCCCAGCCATGCCAAATGCCTTCATTCCCAGCTGTTCATACAAGATAGACCCTGCAGTCAAATAACACAGAATTGTTGAAAGCATGAAATTTATAAGAGGAGGGCAAGAGTTAGGAACGTGGTTTCTATTCTTTAGAAATCGGTTTTAGCCATACCTCCTTCATTGGCAGTCTTCAAGAGGAGGTGAACTGAATACAAGGAAAATATCGACACAAACACGAGAAGAATTCTAAAAGCAAACACAAAGGCAACCTTTACTTTAAATGAAACAGGGCATATGCAATAAGAAAATGCAAGTGAACATAGTGGGCTTGATCCTGCCAAAGTTATACACTTCTGTCTCATTGATTTCACTGCACAAGATTAAAGGATATACTTAACCTTTTCACAGAAATCAGTGATATTTAAAACTGACAGTACAACTGTGTTAAAAGGAGTTGTAATATTTCTCAAGTAAGTAATAAAATAACATAGCAAATCCTCCCCAGTATAAATAGCAGTGAACTTTACTTCAGCTAATGTTATGAGACACTTTCTAGCAAGGATTACAAATAGCCCATACAACACTATCTAAACTGGATTATGTAGACTTAACCAGTTCAGACTTACAATGGATTATGGGTCTGTTTCTATGAGGAGCCACTTCTATTTAAATGCTGCTACATACCTAAGGCATGGGTAGATGAAAGGGTTTTACTTCTTTCATTCTTTCTCACTTTAGTACTTTTAAAATTAAACAAAACTCATGAAAGAAGCTGAAGCAATTAATAATTGTTACAGTTCCAAAAATTCAACACTGGCACATGGCTGGGTGAGAGAGAAGGTCAGTATACAGCTATAATTTCTGGCATCTCAGTGCAAAGCACATGAAAACAAGATTGGTATTCTTGGCTTGAGTTCAGTCCAGTCTGTCCTGCATATAATGGAGGTTGGCTTATGATTTTAATAGGGCGAGTTTCAGACTTAAGTAACTACTGGAAGTGGATCCTCTCCCTATGCAGAAGATCACAAGACAACAATGAATGAAATACACAATGTCATGTGGTTAAAGATGGAACCACCAAAATAGGGCAGCGACCTGTTCTGTGAAAGCAGCCCTTCCAACCAGGAAAAGCTGGTCCTTACTCCAACCCAGGGGATGCAAACAAGAATATGAATGCACATGGTAAATCCCAATGACCTAAGTAGCAGCTATTACATTACAGTGGTGCCTCACTAGAAAATGATAATCCGTTCCACTGAAATTGCTGTTTAGCGAAATCACCGTCTAGCGAAAAGCATTTCCCCATTGGAATGCATTGAAACCTGTTTAATGCGTTCCAATGGGGAAGAATCGTCGTCATCTAGCGAAGATTGGCCATAGGAAAGCTGCTTTGTGAACCGTTGATCAGCTGTTTTTAATCGCCGTCTTGCGAAAAACGGGCTCGAAAACACCCTTTTGTGAGGATCGTCCCTAAGGAAGCCATTTTGCGACCCGCCGATCAGCTCTAAATCATCGTGCTGTGAAAAAACGGCCCACAAAGCATGGACCAAATTGGCGTCCAGCGAAATTCCCCCATAGGAATAACTGTTTTGCGAAGCAAAATGGCTGCTGCAAAACATCATCGTCTTGCGGATTCATCATTTTGAGGTGTAACCGTCTTGCGAGGTGCCACTGTATTTTGTGGCTCTATGACAAACATGAATAACAATTGTCATAACATCACTTACATAACACAGACAATTGCTACTAACCAGCTAAAATTCATTTATCTTGGGTTTTTGCTCAAGGTAATGCTGAAATACTGGCATTATGATAATAAAATGTATGTTTATGAACCTTATCAAAAACTTGGGCTAATTTTGAGTTAACTCTATATAATGATTGTTTTACCTACATGTGCCTTTGCCATTGAATGTTGCAAAGCATAAAACAGGCTCTTTTACAGGCATGTAAGATCCACTAGACGCCATGAAATTTCCTCTCTGATATAAGTACTAGCGCAACTACCTTAAATCAGTGGTCTCCAACCTTGGGCCTCCAGATGTTCTTGGACTTCAACTCCCAGAAATCCTGGCCAGCAGAGGTGGTTGGTGAAGGCTTCTGGGAGTTGTAGTCCAAGAACATCTGGAGGCCCAAGGTTGGGGACCACTGCCTTAAACTACATTTCGGAGGAATTCGTTCTCCATGAAAAATAAAGACAATTTAGCTTTGGAAAATATAGCACTAACTGACTTGTATTACTAGAAGTACATCTATTGACTTAATTGAGATTTTTAAAATTACACTTTGCTATTCAAAGACTATTACTGGCATGCATTATGCTGATGACATTGTAACCACTGCAAAACTTTCTTGGAGCATGAACTGGCACATAATAAGATCAATTTATTCACTCGCTTGCTCTCTTTTAAACTGTATGGCTCACTTTTTGCTTTGGTAAAATTTTTGTACACATTTCCATCTTGAAAGAATGAGCAAAAAATGAAATAATGCCATACACCAAAATGTGCTTCACACTTCCTTTGGTTTTGGTGGCAACAGTAACATTACCAGCATACTGCATGTAGGGACATCTCAGAGTGATCCTCAGTCAGTCATTTTAAGGACCTGAGAAGACAGAAGGGGACGTCTGAAAATACAGTGCACTAAGTAAACCAATTGGGCTAATTAAAAAATATGGTAGGTGCAAATAACTGAGGAATGAAAAGATTGTATTGCAGCCATCTTCTGCTGAAAAATGTTCATTCTAGGTAGGCTACTGTCAATTATTTTGAACGTAATGCTTAAACCATTAATGGGACATATTCCCAAGTAATGACACAACATCATGCTCTTAAGTACAATTTAAATGTAGCTATCAGTTTTTAAAAGTGGATTTCTGTTCATGTAGAGAAATGGAATAACAAGTGAAAAATTCTACTGATGTAATTTTCCCCTTGCAACTACCATTCTTTCCCCATATGAGCTGTACATATTTGGTTTGGGTTTTAAAAAGCAGCATAGCTTTTCTTCCCTTCCTGATAGAATTTCTTCAGTGCTTACACGAAAGGTATCGAATTCTGAACTTTGGAAAGTCAATACACCCATATTCTTGACACTCACTCTCTGACAAACAATAACAACAACAACAACCCTCCACTGAAGTGGTAGGTGGGACCATACTGAAAAACCAGTGGGTTTGCTTTCTGAGGATACTCCTCAATATACACTGCCCCCTAAAGGAAATACATATATTGTATAATGCATTAAAGCTCCTTGTTCTCCATGCCCGTGAAGGCACAGCTAAAAATTACTCACTACTGTTTTTGTGTCTCTTTACTGCCTGCTGTCCTGTGCTTATTCAATCTCAAACTCTGCACTTATATTTTGTTAAAGCTGAACAATGTACAACAATGCCAGCCCAAGCAATAATATAGATTCTGATTTTTAAAAAGAAACAAATTGAGAATATATTGTAGTGATTAAACTGACAGGATTTCTGTGCTGATAAGGACAAAGGAGTTGCACAATATGGTATGGAATTTTATCTGGCTAGCCTTAGATAAGTTTTTCTTTCCACCCTGTCTAGAATACTGTGCACTGATAATTCTACTGAGAAAATTTCTGCATGTTGGCAATGTGCATTTATTAAAGCAGGGGCAGGTTCTCAAATGACAATTAAAGCCCAGTAAAGCACATGTGGGACTTCCCCCTTTACACTATGGAAAGTTAATACATGTAATTCCCCTTTAAGCTAGTTTGACAGGAAGTACTTTGCTGCTTTGACTGAACAGAAGCAGAATAAGATGGGTATGATCCAGATAGGATTAACTTTCTTCTGTTGACATTTCTGATTTACACAGGAGAGATCTAAATATTTAGGTAAAGCAGTTGAAATCAAGATGTCTCAAAAATGCTTACTTGGGCCCAGAGCATCAATCCATTGAAATAAATATTCAAATATTTCTGGAACTAATGTGCACAAATAATAACAACGTACATAGCACTATCAATTGAATGTATTACCTAATACTTACACAAAGAGAGCAATTCCAGTGTTTGCCATGGCATAAGACAGTCCAAGGATGCCACTGCCCACTATAGCGTTGCTCAGATTAAATACTGACATTCCAAAGGAAGTAGTACCTTGATGTTGCTAATGAGAAAACATGTTGTGTTGGTTAATCATTTGTTCAGAAACAGTTGCTTTCAAATGGCTTTAATGTGCATGAAGACTGTCTTCACGTGTGTGCATATGTTAAAAAGATAACTGAGAATTGCTTATATATTCAGTTTCATACTTTACCTTCTTCTTTCCAGGATTGGATTCAAGTAAAAAGTTTTGGTTTTCTGGATCCATGTCTACATAAGGGCTGTGAGAGAAGGAGAAAAATGAGAGCAACTTTAAGGATTGTTCCTTAACATCCCACTGAAAAGGAGCAAGGGAAACCAGTTTTTGTTTTCAGCAATGGCGTTCAAGTGAGTTTATTTCTGAATGTGAGTGTACATGCAGGTGGCACACACAAGGATTTGAACAGATTTGTTTCCACTTCCCACCAGGCCTAGGATGTGTGCAACATCGGCATGTTCCCCACTCTTAAACACACAGTTTTTAAATAGCTCAGAGAGGATATGGTGGGGACAGCCCTATAAGCCCTGTTGAGCTCATTGCAGGAAAAGTGGAATATCAATGTAACAAATACATTCAAATAAATAAAAGGTACAAAGCAAAGCGAAAAGCAACTAGGAATCCAGGTTGAAATTAATTTCTTCTCTTTTTTTAAGCAATAAAGGGACCTGACATGCTCCATTAAAGGGAAAGAGGGCAGGTCCTAAAATCAAAAGAGTACAGAGAAACTTCCCTGACCTTTCCAGAGCAGCTGTTTTGGATGGGTAGGGGTAGTTGAAGTAATTGCTGTTGGAGCTATAGCTGCTGCTATCTTCATCCGGTGTAGTGTTGAGCTTGCTCATTTCAGCTTTGGTCATGATGGAATCCAGGATACCGTTCTTAAGTTCCAGAGATGAAGCAGGCCAATTAATTTCTTTGGGTTCCTATCAGCGGCCTGGGTTCCTCTTGATCTTTTGTCCTTGGTGGCTGCTGGACTTCCCCTGTCTGTAAAGGTAAAAAGAAAACGTCAATACTGCAGTAGTCTCCCAAAGTGGGTCACGTGAGGAACCGCCGCCGCTGCTTCTGCTGCTCACCGCGGCTGATTCATAGTCAGCCAGGCAGTGGAAAAGTACCAGCAGGGAAGGGGAGGGAGAGAATGAGAGAGAGAGAGAGAGAGAGAGAAAGGGAAGGAAAAGTACAAGGGAGCGGAACAAAGATAATCGCCAGCTACAATGTCGGAGCCCACCAAAAAAAAAAGGGGGGGGAAGAGGAGCGAGAAGATCTGCGTGAGAAAGGCCGGGGTGCGCAAGAGAGACACGATCCACCCAACAACAAATTTCGAGCTATATCTCAAAACCATCACCCGGGTTCTTTGGGTGCTTCTCTCCCCCCCTCACCGCCTCTAATCCCTCTTTTTCTCACACAGTTACAAGACAGACGGTAGAAGATACAGGAATCGGGTACAGGAAGATTAAGTCGTAAAAACTGATACGATTCGGGGCAAATCGACTTGCCTACAACTCTGACACACAATACACACTTCTGTGCCCCGGGTGTTGGAAGGCATCCAACTCCACCCTTTCTTTGCCGGAAACGAAACATGATGCAACCGAGCTGAGAGATTGTCTCATGCCCGTTCTTTACTTCAACCGCTACCTTTTTTCTTCTCTTACCGTTCCTTTTTCTCCCCCGGTCGCCTCATTAAAGGGCTCTTTTCGTTTTAAAATTGCGGGGAGAGGGAATCATAATCCGTCACAAGACGGCACCACCAACGCCTATATATTCGGGTGTGTGTTTCAAACACTGCTAGGTTGCAGTAACGGCGGGTGGAATTTTTCCTTTTCTCTCTCTTTTTATTTATTTATTTATTTTTTTTTACATGAGTCTCATACAGACCGCCTTACATAAAGAAACAACCCGGCGCTGCGCCTCTTAAGCCACCCGAATGAATTAACGGAGTCTCTCCCCGCAGGCAAACGACCTCCACCCAGTTCTCCCAAATCAAAGATATATTCCAACAGGGCATATTTACCTCCGTTAATCAATGAAGCTTCAAATCGGGATGTTTCGCACAATCTTTTCGTTTTTGTTTTGTCTTTTTAAGTAAAAGACCAAGGGATCTTGGATAAGACGTCAACTGCTTCTTCGGCGGAAATAATCCTTAAATATTGATATAATTAAATGACCCGGTACGGTAAGGGAAAAAATAAATTAAATTAAAATACAAACAATATGAGAATTCCCCTTTCTTTAAAAATAAAAATAAAAACGAAGCTGGTATAAAATAATAATTTACTGTTTTCTTATTAAATGAAACGAGGTTTTGTTGTATATATAAAAAGAAGAGTTCAGGTAAACTAGAGCGGCCCGGACGCTTTGCGAGATTGGTCCTGGAATCAGCACGGGCGGCGGAAAAGACGATGCTCTCGCGGAACGTCGCGATCAGGTCTGGAGAACGTATTGCGATGCCTTCGCTTTTCAGAACGGAATGCGGTGACGTCACGGAAGGTGGCAATCGGGGGGGGCGTTGGGTGGGAGAAAGGGCGAGGCTTCCACCCGGCAACATGCTGCTCCCTCTCTTTGTATACCAACACCGCATCGCTCCGCCCCCCGTGGCTCTCTTCCCAGGCTGCTACAGTGACACTCCTGCCTCCCGCCGGAGCCACCCTTTTTCATACAAAAGAAGACCAGGAGACTGTTACTTAGCAGCCGGAGAAACTAAACACTGCGCCACGTTTTTTTTTTTTTTAAATTTAAGATCATTCTTCCGAAATGCTGGAAGAGTTAAATTACATCCCCGCTGACATATAGGGCAATATCCAAGTGCTCCGTTTAGACTGACTTGCTGAAAACTCAGGTTACACACCTGCCGGTGGGAATCCGCGCCTTCCTTCGGCCTTGGGCAAGCCTTGGTTTTCCACATGTAAAATCACAAGATAAGTTGTAAATCACTTTTAGGTCGCCAGGACATGCCTTGTTGTATGCCCGAATCAGTATTTGCACGACTAATGTGTGAATCAATATATCGAATTTCAAGGCATAGCCTCCAGACACGTTAATTTGCCTACCGGCTTATTAGAACAGTTGTTTTGCTGGAGAAAAGAACCTTATGGTAAAGACCACAAGGAGAGCATGAATAAGGTTATTATACACCATCTGTGTTCCTTCCCAATGTGGAGGGGAAACATATATTAAATAAGTTCCAGATAGAATGAAGAAATATTTTTATTATGACTAATCAGACAATCATGAAACTTTGAGTTCTACATAATTCCTGGAAAGGTTAAAAGGGTTAGGGAAAGGAAGGAAAGCACATTGTTGCAGCCTCAGGATCTGCCATTCATTGTTGTCATTATTGTTATTCATTATAAGAAGAGCGCAGGAAGGGGTTGAACATTGCATAGTGTTTTAACTTCTCCATCTGTTTAGTAACTGCTACTGGCTTCACAGAAAAAAATGGTTAACAGTGCATAATTACCATGTCTAGACAATCTACTGTTGCTACTGTATCTCAAGAGATACTTATCAACATTTTAAAAAAATAACTCAGGTCATTAAGACTAGTGATTTTGCAATGTTTCCTCTAGGTATGATTTCAGGGAAAGAAAGTTCAAGAATTTTGTGTAACTTTGAACATTGTGCTATAATACTTTATAATTCTAGTCCTATAGTACCATCCACATTACTAAAAAAATGCTGTAATAAATGAAAAATCTACATACAGCTTACTGAATTTCAGCACTGAAAAATCAATGGCAGTGAGGATCCTTCAGCATTATTATTAACTATGTTTGTCAAAATTTCCAGTTGAACTCGTGGTGGTGTTAATATCACATGATGACAGAAATCTCCAAGTGGAAGAGTACCAGACTTATCCCTTTAATGTGAATTGCTCATTGGTTTATTTTTACATGATTTCATGTACTTATAGAGGTTATGGATATTGTTTTGCTGTTGAAATTGAAACATTATTTTCAGAATTCAGTGCATTACATTATCTTGTAACTTAAGGAGATATTCAGTTATTTTCTTTTGAAGATGTTTTGTATTTTACAGAAGAAAAGAATGAATGTACAGTATTTCAGCTCTTGTTGAGAAAGGGAGAAATAAATGCTGTTTCCATGTACTGAATGTCTGGGTTTTAGCTAGAGATGGGAAAGTCTGGCGGGGGGGGGGAATGGAAACATTGAAATAAAAACCAGTTTCCCCCCAAAGCTGTTTTTTGTTTTTTTCTGGAAAAATTGAAAAATGTTCTTTTACAATGATACATAATATGTCTATGACACGGTATTCAAATGATATAATGTGAATACAGAGATAATGGGATGAAGTGCCCTGCCAGTGAGCACCTGTAGCTGGCCATTTGAATGAAACCCTGGACAGGAGCAGTCCACACTACATACCTGAGTTACCTATGTTCGTTTTTGCTTAGCCAATGTGTTAAAACCTATCCCAGATTCCAATGTTTTAAAACCTATCCCAGAACAGTGTTTGTTTATTTGGGTTTGTAGTGGGATCTCATTATATAATTACATAAATAAAGCATATGACTAAGGGCATTTTGATGAAATGAACTTTACAAATGTGCCACGTTTTGTCTCCTTGTATCAGGATAAATCAATTAGAAGGCAAGTGAGACATTTAAGGAGTGGTTTTGCCAATATCCCGCCCCCACTTCCACCCCCAGGAGTTTCCATGGCAGAGCGAGGATTTGAACCCAGTCCTCTTGAGCCTGTCTGTTTTATTCACCGTTACACCACGCCGGGAATCCCAGCCACAATTTAGGGTCTCGCATGACGAGGCTTCTAAATACAGGGAGGTAGATTTATATAGAAATGTATATCCACACCCACAGAGCCATCGCGATAGTACACATTCTGGCATCATAACGATGGAATTTTTAAGGCCCTTGAGTCGTTTAAGGCCTCAGCGTGTCCCTCAGTCCTTCACCGTTCATCCGAAGGGAGGGAAGCCTCCCGCGCGGGTTCCCTGCTCTTTAAAGCACGCCATAACGCAGAGCGCTTCAACTTTGGCGGGCGGAGATGCAAGCTGAGAAGCGCCTCCCCCCCCCCCTTCCGCATTAAATACAGGGGGCGGCTGCAAGGCACGGTTTGAGCATCATCTCCCGCCCCGCGCCTCCCTCTGCCTCCCCTCCAGGCCATACGAGCCCTCTCCTTCGCCTTCCCCCGCCCCCATGCCCGGAATGTTCTCGATAAAGGAAGACTGTGCGGAGAGGTGGTGGGTAGCTGCGCGCGCACCGCCGAAGCTGAAAATTTTCCACTCGAGCTGCTCTTACTACGCTCAGGGGGCGCGCTCCCGCCCACCGGATTACGCGAAGCCTTGAGTCACCTCTCTCTCTCTCTCTCCCCCCCGGAACCGCCCCCCCCCCGGGTAGGGGTGGGTTGGGTTAGGGCAGGGCAGGTTGGTTCAAAGTCCTCGCGCCGCTGCCCGCGGTGGAGAAAGAGCGCGCCACGCAATGCCATTCTAATAAGTACCATGAGAAATAAGGCAAGCGCTGGCTTGTGGGAGACGCTTGCTCAGCGCGTGTGGCTTGGGGCGCCTCGCCTGCCTCGGAGTTCTCAGACTTCCCTCCGTGGAAATAACCCAAGTTCCTTCAGGCTGGGCGAGCCGTGACCGTTGAAGCGACCGACCTTGGGAGGATCACCCACAAATATATATATATTGTTTTGTTTTGGAGATTGCATAAGATCCACCTACAAAGAGGATCAAGGTTACAATATATATATTATATTGTAACCTTGATCCTCTTTGTAGGTGGATCTTATGCCATCTCCAAAACAAAACAAAACACCAGCACATTTTTAAAGCATGTTTTGTGGGATGGAAATATATCACATTGCAGTTGTAAGGCATCTTTTCACATTCGCATTCTTTACGTTACAATTCAGGTAGTTCCTTTTTCTTTTGTCCTTCCCTTTCTATGTGGGGTTTAGTTATGCGTGCCAGCTGGCAATTCAGGTAGTTCCTTTTTCTTTTGTCCTCCCCTTTCTATGTGGGGTTTAGTTATGTGCGCCAGCTGGCGTTGAAGGCTTCTGGGGATTTTAGTTCAAGATCATCTAGGCTGGTAATCATAGCTCTACCTAGCTCAAGGCAGCATATGTGCCCGTCCCCATCTTCATCCTCACAACTTTGTGAGGTGAGAACTGCTCAGTGGTTTAGGTATCTGGTTAGGAGCTCAATTCCCCACTCCTTGACAGGGGCTAGACTTCATGATCCACATAGTACCTTCTAGTTCTGGAGTTTCAAGATTATTACTGTTACTATTATAGATCAATCAAACTGAATGTGGTAACTTCCCTGAGGGAAATGCACACAATATGAACAATTAGTTTGCTCTTAGCCTTTCTAAGTATCTGAGATAGCAGTAAGATAAACGGTAAAGGTTCCCCTTGACAATTTGTCCAGTTGTGTCCAACTCTAGGGGGTGGTGCTCATCTCTGTTTCCAACCCATAGATCTAGCATTTGTCCAAAGACAATCTTCTGTGGTCACATGGCCAGTGCGACGAGACACAGAATGCTGTTACCTTCCCACCGTGGTCGTACCTATTTAGCTACTCGCATTTTGCATTTTGCATGCTTTTGAACTGCTAGATTGGTGGGAGCTGGGACAAACAACAGGGTCACTCCGTCACGTGGATTCGATCTTACGACTGCAGGTCTTCTGACCTTGCAGCACAGAGGCTTCTGCAGTTTAACCCGCAGCGCCACCACGTCCCCTCTGAGATAGCAGATACCATCCAAATTGTTAAAAGGTTAGGCCTCTTATGGTTGGCTGTATCTTTTTTTCATTGCTCACAGATGATGGTTTTGCTTGCTAAATATAGGACTATGCTCAGTCAGATCAACAGTTGAACAAAGGGTCCTGAATTACATGAAACCTTGAGTCACCTGATTGCTCACTGAGACGTCAGTGGAGTCATGGCAGTCTGAAAATGGCAGCACATATCACACACTTTCCATTCAGTATTGTAGTACTGAACAAGTGAAAACCACTCAAAACCGAAATCCATTCAGCAGTGATATCTTTGTGTTGGATGCAACATCATCTTTTGAAAGCTTCTTCTAGAGTTCTGCTGGTGACTTTGCATTCACTATGGAATGGTGATTTCCCATTCATATGTTGTTTGTACCATTTGGTATAGAAAGGGAAAGATGCTGCCCTGCAGATGTTGGGCTGTAACTCCCAAGCTGTAGCCAGCATGAGCCAAGGGTGAGGGATGATGAACGTTCTGATCCAACAATTGAAAGGCAACTGTTGTTCATCCTGAATTTAGTAGCACTCACTACAGAAATTCTGCCCATCAAAGTACTGGGATTCCCCTCCAGCTGCAAAACAAATGTTGGGTGCTGGTAAAGCCAGGGTAAATCATTAGGGAAGATTCGAATCCTCTAAAATACCATTGGAAGGATGTGAACAATTACAGTGGTGCCTCGAAAGGCA